CGTCCATCGTATGATTCATGATGTAGACTAACGTACTACGATATCATAACGAGAAATTAAATGAAATATGTCATCAGATCAATGTGTAACAAATTAACTGTTATTAGGTGACCAAACGGTTCGATAAGGGTTCTCGAGTATATTATTGAAAAGGTTCTAAATTTGAATCTCTCTTTGATTGCTACTGGGGGTAACCATTGAAGTTTTTATCTGATCAGTAGTTTTAGGGTGTTAAGAGATCAGTTGAGGTACAAGTAAACTGGCCTGAACACCCCTAGTCATAAAAAAAAATTATAAGTAATGCTACAGTTACCGAAAAAGTATACTGAATTCATGCACCGAACAGACGTGACACTATCTGCTTTTTTTAAAAATAAAATTTATAATTAATTAACGGTCGTGATGATGTCACATTGATCGGTGCATAAATTCAGTATCCCTTTTTCTGTATCATTTTCCAAAATTTATTGATAATCAAAATTATATAAACGAAGATGCAGGCGGGCTTTTTTTTATCAATTTGGGCTTACTGGGCCCAGACCCTGGGCTAATTTTTGTCTTCAGTTTTAGATTGAGGACTCGAATTGGACACCCATAATATAATAAATTATTGTATAAGATTGGAAATAATGCTACCACATATTAATGTTATATAAGATAAGAGTAAAATGTAACAAAAATTATGGAATTACAAAAATCTCCTTAAGTAGTCATTTACTTAATTGCCCACCAACTAAACCTTAATTGGACACTAATTATAAAAAAGAAAAAATATTATTGAATTGGTATATATTCAAATACTAAAAATTTATTTTCTTTTTTCTTTTTAATTAACTTCACTAATATAGGTTGAGCTGTCTTAATCAAATTTTGTGCTCCAACAATATTGCAGTAAACAACTTTTACTAAATTAGAANAGTATATAAAACATAGTCCTTTAAATAATAATAAAAAAAGTGTTAAATCAGTCTCACAACCAACATTTGAAGAAGGACAGAAGGTAGGTTGATGTCATTCAAGAGGGTGGCATGCAACTATGCTAGAATTAATGTGACAAATACACTCCAATTGTATTACATATATTTTAATCCAATTCAACACAACTAAATTAATTTAATTTATTTTAAAAAAGTACTTTCATTTGTAGATATTTTTTAGGCATGACAAGACAATATATAGATATGTAGAGGTGGAGCAAAAAATTAGGCATAATTTACGGCATGGAACTTAGGTTTAAGAAAATATAGCTCGGGAAAATCGGTCATTTTAATTACTACTTTACACTATTGCCTTTTCAATTTGGACCGACTATTAATTGAAAGCTTCCCACTAATCACCGTGCGATGATTGTGTTAACACCCTAATTCAATATATTAATTTAAAAAATGATTGATTATATATATAATGTTTCTACATCTTACTTTTCTAGTTTTCTTCACAAATATTATGATTTATTGACAAAAAAGATGAAGAAATTAATTTCATTCAATTCAACAACATCCATTTTAAATATCTCCATCAACATACTATTAAGATTATATTCTATAAAATATTATTGTTTAATTCAACGATTCTCAATATAAAAAAAAAAAATGTTCAGGTGTGTTTGTTTTATTATTTTGAGTAAGATTTTTGAAAAAGTTGAGATGTGTGATTATTAAGAGGTGGGATTTGAAAATTAATAAAAACAGCTCATAAGTTTGTTAATTTACTAAATACCCTTACAATAAAATATTGAAAATTAACAAAAGCACTCTCACTCACACATTAAACGCCAGTAGCCGGCCACAGACCGCCATCGTCAGAGGGTGGCCGACAGTGGCCATAATGACTCACGGCCAAATGGATTTGGCTGATCGTACGCTGATATGACCTTTTTCGGTCGGACCACCATGGATTTGATCGAAAAATACTAGATTTACGGCCAGATCTGACCATCTTTGGTCGTTAATGATGGCCAAAGACATGGCCGTTGTTGATGGTCAACGACAGCCATATCTTGGCCATCGTTGATGACCAGCTATGGCCAAAGATCTGATCATCAACGAGTATATCTTTGGCCGTATATCTGACATTTTTCAGCTAGATTAACGATGGATTTGACTGAAAAAGGATAGATCGGCACACTACCGACTATATCCAGTTAATAGTGTGTAATTACGCTAGATTTTGGCCACCTTTCGACGGTGGTGGCCGGAATCTGGCAAATGTGGATGGGCGAGAGTGTTTTTATCAATTTCTAAATTTTTTTTTGGGGGTGTTTAGTTAAATTAAAAAACCTAAGGGGTTTAAAAATAGTTAAATAAAATAGATTTAGATTTTTAGAATAGGAAAACAAATATGTATTTTAGGTAAGATATGGATAGGATAATGTAAAAATATTAAATCAAATGCAGCCTTTAAACTTCATTTGTTTTAATTCCTTTAAGAAATAAATTTGTTTATTTTAATGTGGTACTATAAAAGCAAAATATATTTTAATGATGCTTTTAATATCATAGGTCATCCAAAATTTGGAAGAAAAAAGAAGCAACATTAATAAAGAGTGCATAAATGCGACCTTTCAAAAAAGTTGTGTCCTACTACGACAACGTATCTAATAAAACGATGAGGTAAATCATAAAGAAATTAAACTATTTGCCTTTAGATTTATTCAAACCTTTTTGTTGTTGACCAATTGTATCATATTTCAAAGTCACCTTTTGCTTTCTTGTCATTTGATGATTGCTAAGTAAGAAATTTTTTTAATTTCTTGTTGACTACTTCCAATCTTGCTTTGGATAATTTTCCCACTAATTAATTATTTTATTTACATCTCATCCTTATATTTAACTTAACGTGTTTTGTAAGTAACACTACAAAAATAAACAGAGGCTGGGTTATCGAATAGAAACTCTTGGATATATTACTCAAAATGTATTAAGTTTGATTCTCTTCGATTGTTAATAGGGATGACCACTGAAGATTTACCTGGTCATTAACTTCAGTACCCTGAGAGATCAGTTGAATGTATGCGTAAGTTAGCTCAGACACTTCCAGTCACAAAACCGTCAACTTTAGGGTTCTAGAGAATTAGTTGAGGTGTGTGTAACCTAGTCTGGACACCCCTAGTCACAAAAAAAAAAAAAAAAAAAATTGTATTCATAATGATATGTTTATGATGTAATTACCTAAAATAAAATTATTATAATTTTTTTTTTTTTTTTTTTTTGGTCTCTATAATTGGCGGTGTTGAAGAGATGATTTCAATTTGTGGTGCTACTTACGAACAACAATTGCCACCAAAAATAAATGAAATACATAATTAATTAATTATTTAAAACGACTTTATATTACGTTTCTAGGCCATTTAATTTCGTTTGTATGTTTCCTATATAATATTTTTAGGACATATATGAAAATGATAGTCGGTCCTTTGATTTATTATTAACCACTAACCAATTTATTCATTATCATTAAAATAATACACAATTAAAATTATTTTCTCTATATCAATTTTTCTTAATATAAAAATTATTAAATTCCACCAATTTGAATGGATTCACGACAAATTTGAGTTAATTTTAATGGTCCCTGATGTTTTGTCCACTAAAGTTAGATCCGATATAATCTGATAGTAATTAGGTCCTTTCAGTTAGATGACTCAGATAGCAATTTTTTCAAAACTTTTTTTAAAATTCTAAAATGCCCTCAATCTTATTTTATGTGAATAAGATTAAAAATAGTAGAATTATAAAAAAGAAATTTAAAAATTATTATTGTATTAATCATAAAAAATAAATAAAAAAAAATAATTCAAATATCTCTTACCTGAAGGACCTAAGTGTTACTATTAAATTTGACTGGACCTAAAAGATTGATCTCCCTGAAATCTAGAGCTAAAATAGTAAAATTGTGAGACCAAAAAGGTTAAGTTAGATGGGGAAGATGATGACGTGGGGGAAGCATCACTCCAGTAAGGAAGCTGGTAAAGGTCTACCACGTGCGCATCAGGTTGTCGGCTACGGTCAAATGCCGGTGCCAATAATACAAAGGTGGTATTTGTAAAGTTTGAAAGTTGACCGGCTTTGCGCTCTCATGCACAAAAAGAGGCATCTCATGACTGACTGATTACTGACCTGACTACAACCCGTTACTTTGTAGTCTTCGCTGACTTCTTCTTATCTCTGCCCTTTATCCATCCTTCTTTGCTCTTAACACTCACCTTTCAATAATATTTCAATTCCTTTCACTTTCCACCCCCAATCCTTTATGCATTGACACAACTTCAATACCGACACTCCGACATGCCCCATTTTCTATAGTTAACATAAATTTGAGAACAAATGAGCAAATATTATATGAGAAATCATAGTTTTAAATACCCTCAAGAATTTTCAAAAACTATTAAATATCTTTTATCAAGAGCGTATTATTCAAAAATCATGAGTTCGAATATCTTTTCGATTGCTAATAATAGTAGTCACTGGAACTCTTACTCAACTGATAGTTTCAGAGTCCTAACGATTAGTTGAAGTATGCGTAAACTGGTCGGACATCTCGGTCATGAAAAAAAAAAAAAAAAAAAGTTTTGAAAAGGTTGAGATATTTGAACAAATAAATCTTTATGGGCAGATGAAAATAAGTTATAGTAGTTTGCAAAGAACCCAAAAATATTGGTGGGGTTTAATTATTACAATAATATATAAATTTTTTTTTTTTTTTTTATTTGAATTTGTTTAGATGATAGAATTAATTAAAAAAGAGGAAGGTATTTGTGTGATTGATGGGAGTAGGAGGATAGCAGTTTTTGGACTTGGAAATGTTTCCATATTAGAAGCCACTTTTGCATCTTCTAATTGGAAGGAGTTGCTTTGTCAACCTTCTCTTTGTAAAGTAAAGTGGTGTAGCAAAAGTCGCATTCAAAGCTCAAGACTGTTTATATTTTATTTTTATATGAATTTCTTTTCTATTATATATATATAAAAAACTTGGACAACATAAATAGGTTAAAACTTACAAAAAGTCTCAGATTAACAAGACTGAGAGACCTCATCAAAACCGCTCCCTGGCTAGCTAGCTACCTCTCTTTCTTTGTTGATCTTCATCTTCTAATTCTTCCATGTCTAATGAATCTAGAGACCTTTATTACCGATCTCTCTTCCCTGACGATCAACATAATATGTCTGCAAACGCCGGCATGTATCATGACCAGAAGCCCTCCATTGCTGCTGGTTCTTCTGTTTACACTACTTCTTCGCGCGAGTTTGATGCTGGAAACCTCAACTTCGCCGACTGCTTAAATGGGTTGGTCGACTATAATTCTCTTGAGAAGGCCTTCGGCATGTCGCCTTCTTCCTCTGAGGTGTTTTCTTCCGTTGAAGGTAATCAGAAACTGGTTGGTCCTGAAGACTTAGGTGAAAACTTGGCGACCCCAAATTCTTCCATCTCTTCTTCTTCTACAGAGGCTGGTGCAGAAGAAGATTCCGGCAAGAGTAAGAAAGATGCGCAACCTAAAGGGTCGGATGATGGAGGAGAAACCTCTAAGAAAATGTAAGTATCTTGTTTCTTAACAGTTCATTGCCATGATTTAATTTCTTGGTGTAACTTTGATTCACTTTTGATGTTGTTTAATTTGATGACAGAAGCAAAGCAAAGAAACAAAAAGGAGAAAAGAGGCAGAAGGAACCGCGAGTTGCGTTCATGACAAAGAGCGAGGTTGATCATCTTGAAGATGGGTATAGATGGAGAAAATACGGACAAAAAGCTGTCAAGAATAGTCCTTATCCAAGGTTAGTATGTCAACTTTACACGCAAACACCAAAACCCCATATTATCATGTAAACACAGACACAGTCAATCCAAAATTTTGCCTAAATACTTTTGAGAAAAAGATAAAATGAAACCTAACTAAATAGTTAAACACTATGCCTTTTGATTCTAGTTTTGATCGGAGACTACTTTTCCTTTTAATGCAGAAGCTATTATAGGTGCACTACTCAGAAATGCACAGTCAAGAAACGTGTGGAGAGATCTTTTCAAGATCCATCGATTGTGATCACGACGTATGAAGGCCAACACAATCACCCCATCCCCACAACGCTGAGAGGCAACGCCGCCGGAATGTTCCGGCCTTCTATGTTAACGCCGACGCCGATCGACATGTCGAGCTACGCTCATCATGAATGGCTCGGGAGTTACTTGCCCGGTGCAGGCATACATAATAACCATGGTAGTGGTGCAGGCGCTTTGCAAATGCACCCACAGAATAATGTTAACGTCTCTTTTGAGCAGTATCATCAACCACAGCTTCCTGATTACGGGCTTTTGCAGGACGTAGTTCCTTCTATGTTCCTCAAAAGAGAGCCATGAATGATTGAATGCCCGATGGATATTATGATGATTAATTTATCTCCAATATCTCCATATCCGCTGCTTCCCCCTCTCATTGTAAATACTCCTACTAGCTAGAGAGGTACTTGAATTTTTTTTTTCTTTCCCTATTTTGTTTCTAACCTTTTCGAGCACAACGATGATTATCTATAGCTACTATATATATATATATTTTGGAAGTGAAATTGTAGCCTTCTATTGGAAATTAGGGGTATAATTTGCTTTGCAGTGCCTCTTTTAAGGAACTTAATGTTTCTAGAGTTGGAGAGAATGGTCAGGTTCTCCTAATGTAAGAGGATTTCATTTCTCTTTATATTACTATATTATAATACTAGAAATGTAGTTTTTATTATACTATATGCTTGTGTTTATTTATTGTCACACAGAAACTCCATTTTGTTGCAGTGATATATGAAAGCTTACAGAATGTCTTCGAGAATTTTTTGTTCCAATGTTTTCTTGATTAAATATTCATCTTATAGTCATTATAGAGACCAAGTGACTGCCTCTCTCTGCAACTTAAAAGATAAGACCCTTTGGCTATAGTTAATTCCAGTGGTTAAAGGGTTTATTATTCGACCATAAGAGAAAAAGTAATTACCGAACTTGTGTGTGTTGAAACATACAAGTTTTGTTTTGCTTGGGAAAGTTAGAAAATGCTTTATGTTGTTGGCGGTCAGAAACAGCATCTAAAAGCAAAGTTTAAGGAGATTTTTAAAAGGTATATATTGTGGTCAGCTTCAATTGTTGAATAGCATATCACTATACGATCGGAGGTTTTGTCTATGATTTGTTCATAAAAAGCAGGAAATAACGCAGGTATTTTTGACTGGCTGTTTGCATATCATTTCAGTTTTTCAACTCTCTCAACTCCAAACGAAAGTGCAGTCTGAATTGAGCCACAATGCCGTAATTTAATTTTATTATTTGTTATCTTTAGATTCCTGGTCCCAATTCACAAGGAGGTAAGGTACCAGAAGAAGGATGACCCCAACCCTTTCTACACTCCAATTATATTACATAGATTTTAATCCATTCAACACAACTAAATTATTTAATTTATTTTAAAAAAGTACTTCATTTGTGATATTTTGGCATGACAAGACATATATATGATATAAGGTGAGCAAAAATTAGGCAAATTTACGGCATGGAACTTAGGTTTAAGAAAATATAGCTCGGGAAAATCGGTCATTTAATTACTACTTTACACTATTGCCTTTTCAATTTGGACCGACTATTAATTGAAAGCTTCCCACTAATCACCGTGCGATGATTGTGTTAACACCCTAATTCATATATTAATTTAAAAAATGTGATTATATTAATGTTTCTACATCTTACTTTTCTAGTTTTCTTCACAAATATTATGATTTATTGACAAAAAAGATGAAGAAATTAATTTCATTCAATTCACAACATCCTTTTAAATATCTCATCAACATACTATTAAGATTATATTCTATAAAATATTTTGTTTATTCAACGATTCCATATTAAAAAAAAAAAATGTTTAGGTTTGTTGTTTATATTTTGGTATAGAATTTTTGAAAAAGTTGAGATGGTGTGATTATAAGATGGGATTTGAAAATTAATAAAACACCCATAAGTTTGTTAATTTACTAAAACCCTACATAAAATTAAAAATTAACAAAACACCTCCACCCACCCGTTAAACGCGCAGCCGGACACCACCATCGGAAGGTGGCCGACAGTCCATAATGAACGGCCAAATGATTTGGCTGCGTCTGACGCTGATATGACTTTTTCGGTAAACCACCATGATTTGATCGAAAAATGTTGAATCTACAGTCAGATCTGGCACATTGGTCGTCAAGATGGCAAAGATATGGTCCGTGGATGGTCAACGACAGCCATATCTTGGCATCGTTGATGATCAGCTATGACCAAAGATCAGTCATCAACGACAGATCTTAGCTGTGATTTGACATTTTTTAGCTAGATCAACGGTGAATCTGATCGAAAAGATAGATGGCACATACCGACCATATCAGTCGTAGCAAATTATGCAGATTTGGCTACCTTCACGATGGTGGCCTGATTTGCAAATGTGGGTGGGCGAGGGTTGTTTTTACATTTCTAATTTTTTTTTTTTTGGTGTTTAGTTAAATAAAAACCTAGGGTTAAAAATAGTAATAAAATAGATTTGAATTTTTAGAATAGGAAAACAAATATGTATTTGGTAAGATATAGATAGGAAGTGTAAAAATATTAAATCAAAGCAGCCTTTAAACTTTTTGTTTTAAGATTTTTTTTTTAATCTTGTAAGAAATAAATTATTATTATGTCTTAAAAGCAAAATATATTAATGATCTTAATATCTAGGTCATCCAAATTTGGAAGAAAAAAGAAGCAACATTAATAAAGAGTCATCATGGACCTTTCAAAAAGTTTGTCCTACTACGACAACGATCTAATAAAACGATGAGGTAATCATAAAGAAATTAAACTATTTCCTTTAGATTTATTCAAACCTTTTGTTGTTGACCAATGTATCATATTTCAAAGTCACCTTTTGCTTTCTTGTCATTTGATGATTGCTAAGTAAGAAATTTTTTTAATTTCTTGTTGACTACTTCCAATCTTGCTTTGGATAATTTTCCCACTAATTAATTATTTTATTACATCTCATCCTTATATTTAACTTAACGTGTTGTAAAACACTACAAAAATAAAAAGGCGGGTTATCGAATAGAACTCTGGTATATTACTCAAAGTATTAAGTTTATTCTCTTCGATTTTAATAGGGATGACCACTGAAGTTATAGTCATTAACACGTCCCTGAAGGATCAGTTGAATGTATGCGTAAGTTAGCTCAGACACTTCCATCACAAAACGTCAACTTTAGGGTTCTAGAGAATTAGTTGAGTGTGTGAACCTAGTCGGACACCCTAGCACAAAAAAAAAAAAAAATTGTATTCATTAATATATGTTTATGATGTAATTACCTAAAATAAATTATTATAATTTTTTTTTTTTTTTTTGGTCTCTATAAATTGGCGGTGTTGAAGAGATGATTTCAATTTGTGGTGCTACTTACGAACAACAATTGCCACCCAAAAATAAATGAAATACATAATATAATTAATATTAAACGACTTTATTATTACGTTTTCTAGGTTGCCTTTTATATCGCTTTTTAGGACATATGAAAATGATAGTCGGTCCTTTGATTTATTAAACCACTAACCAATTTATTCATTATCATCAAATTAATACACAATAAAATTAATTTCTCTAATCAATTTTTTTCATAAAAATTATTAAATTCCACAATTTGAATGATTCACGCAAATTTGAGTTAATTTTATGGTCCCTGAGTTTTGTGAATAAGTTAGGTCCGATATATCTGATAGTAACATTGGTCCTTATCAGTTAGATGACTCAGCTCAGATAGCAATTTTTTCAAAACTTTTTTTAAAATCTAAATGCTCAATCTTATTTTATGTGAATAAGATTAAAATTAAGAATTATATAAAAAAAAAAATTTATAAATTTAATATTATATTAATCATAAAAAATAAAAAAAAATAATTCAAAATCTCTTACCTGAAGGACCTAAGTGTTACTATTAAATTTTGACTGGACCTAAAAGATTTATCTCCCTGAAATCTAGAGCTAAATAGTAAAATTGTGAGACCAAAAAGGTTAAGTAGATGGGGAAGATGATGACGTGGGGGAAGCATCACTCCAGTAAGGAAGCGGTAAAGGTCTACCACGTGCCGCATCAGGTTGTCGGCTACGGTCAAATGCCGGTGCCATAATACAAGGTGGTATTTGTAAAGTTTGAAAGTTTGACCGGCTTTGCGCTTCATTGCACAAAAGAGGCATCTCATGACTGACTGATACTGACCTGACTACAACCCGTTACTTTGGTCTTCGCTGACTTCTTATCTCTTCCCATTTTATCTCCATCCCTTCTTTGCTCTAACACTCACCTTTCAATAATATTTCAATTCCTTTCACTTTCCACCCCAATCCTTTATGCATTGACACAACTTCAATACCGACATCCGACATGCCCATTTTCTATAGTTAACAAAAATTTGAGAACAATGAAAATATTATATGAGAATTCATAAGTTTTAAATACCCTCAAGAATTTTCAAAAACTATTAAATATCTTTTATCAAGAGGGTATTATTCAAAAATCATAGTTCGAATATCTTTCGATTGTCTAATAGATAGTCACTGAGACTCTTACTCAACTGATAGTTTCAGGTCTAAAAGATTAGTTGAGTATGCGTAACTGTCGGACATCCGGTCATAAAAAAAAAAAAAAAAAAAAAAAAAAAAAAAAAAAAAAACTTTATGGGGCAGATGAAATAAGTTTAGTAGTTTGCAAAGAACCAAAAATATTGGTGGGGTTTAATTATTACAATAATATATAATTTTTTTTTTTATTTGAATTTGTTTAGATGATAGAATAATTAAAAAAAGAGGAAAGGTTTGTTTGATTGATGGAGTAGGAGGATAGCAGTTTTTGGAACTTGGAAATGTTTCCATATTAGAAGCCACTTTGCATCTTCTAGGAAGGAGTTGCTTTGTCAACCTTCTCTTTGTAAGTAAAGTGGTGTTATAAAAAATACAATCTTCTCATAGTGTGGCACCTCCACTGATGTTTTTAGTCTTAGATATTATTAGTGAAATAGATTTTGAGTTGGAATAGGTTGCTGATTTTGCCATTAAGTTGCCAATATAGACTTGAATAAGTAATTGACATTGGACCTTAAAAAAGCATGTTGTATAAGTTCTATGCTATTTTCCTTCAAACAAAAGTAGCCTGTGATATGATTTTTTTTTCGAATTTTTCTTTGTTGAGACAACTTTAGATTAGATACTGGCAAGGGGTCAGTCGTTGGACTCACCCTTAGGTAGCTCAAGTGATAAGATGAGTACTGAGATTTATGGTTAAAGCGCACGGTCCCATGTTCAATTCCCCTTGGCTCTCAAGATTTAAGCAGTCTGATTATGGCTACATGGATTAAGGATTAGTCGAGGTATGCGTAAGCTAGCCTTGACACACTGTTTAAAAAAAAAAAAAAGGGCTAGCCATTGGATTGTCAAGTATGTAGTTTGTTTTTACTTTTCAAAGAGCATGTTATGTTATATGATTTTTTTTTTTCGAATTTTTCTTTGGTCGGGACAACTT